CTAGTTCGGTACTTTTTCTACCTTACTTTCTAATTACTTATTAATCTTGTATTACTGTGTTCAATCTCATCTCTCTCTCTCTCTCTCTCTCTCTCTCTCTATCCCCTGTGTGCCTTGGAGATTATATTTGTTGAGGTGATCTATTGGTTGATACGAATTCATTTTGTTGACACAGTGAGTTGCTTGTGCTTTTGTGTTTGTTTTTTATTTTTACAAACTACTTTTTAATGAGTAATGATCATATGAGACCCTCTCCTACCCAAGTGTATGAGACCCCACCTCATGATCGTAGGATCCACATTCACATCTCGAGAAAACTAGATGGTAGTAATCACCGGTTAACCCACTGAGAGAAGCTTTCTCTTGGAGGAGGCACATACTTTTTTAACCCGATAGTAGCTCGCCTTCTCTCTTGCTAAACCCTTTCCTTTCTAAACCTCCTCTACCTTCTATCATTGTCTTTGGTTTTCTGTCTATATATCCCCCTCGAATATCTCGCTCTCTATCTGTGACTGATTTGGTTTTCTAAAAAACCACCAAAACAAAAATCTATTAGTTTTAGAGAGAGAAACTCCGACAAAGACGACATCGACGGTATTTCATGGCCCAAAATCTTGATGAGGAGCAAGAATACGAGGCACCCCTTCTAAAATCAATAGAAAATTCCCAAAACTTTAATGAAGCTTCATTTTCAGGCGCCCTTTTCAATCGCTGAACAAGTGCAATAAGTGTTGGAATCATGTTCATTCCTACAATTATGAAGGTATAGTGTGTCAATCCTGCAATTTTCTTGGCAATTTTTGTTGTAATTTTGAAGAATCTTTTGGAGCAATTTATGCTGAAATTTATGAGTGCAATATTTCTAACACTTGTAATTGATTAATAGGGAATCATTTGAAAAGATTGGGTCCGTTCTTTTACAAAATTGTGTGATAATCAATAATTTGGGGGCTGAGATGGTCTATATGATCATCATAGGTACTTGGTTTTCGTAAATTTGCTGGCCAAATATAGGGAGCCTCTCTCTCTAGCTGCTGCCTCTCTCCCCCATGCTCTCTCTAAGAGTGAGTCCATGAGAACTTCAATTTCTTTTCAAACTTTTGACATACCCAAATGGTTTTACAGCTGATACCATTTGGATCTCTCATCATCATCTTCTACTTACTGTTTGTATTGCCCTTCCGATTTTTACGTTTGTTCTCATATTGCTAGACAAGCTGACATCATTGGATCTCTCTCAAGCTAACACCATTTGGATCTCTCCGTCTCTCTCATCATTTGCTTACCATATGTGCAACTCCTTTGTTTTTTTTTACATCTAGTCCCTATTGCCTCTCAAAACTTAATTTAGAATTTCAGCTCTCTCTCTCTCTCTAAAACCTTATATTGTACGGGTAAAGTGTACCTATAAAAGCCACTAGTGGAGGTTCTTCTTATGCTAAAAAACTCTTGAATCGATCATCTCGACCTCAAGATTCATAGGCATTACAAAAGAAG